AATATAATAATTACCAATTTCTTAATTTGTTTGCATAGGGAAATGAATAGACGCCTCACAGAAGAACAAGCCAGAAAGACGTTTGAGAGAGCCATGAAATTGGAACAAGAGTTTACTGAACATTTCACAGGTTGGCATCCTGGGTGCTGGGAGCCTGGCAGGGTCTGAAGCCAGGTGCACTGGCACACTGAAAATGAGGCCTGGCTGTCTGCCAGTGCTAACTAGTACTGGCGTTCTCAGAGATAAACTGTAAAAGCCTGGAGGGTTTGGGGTGGATGGAGGTGTCGGGGGGAGGGGGTGGTGTATAAATTCATCTAGTCAGTGGTAGATGATAGGGATTTATTAAATGTGATAGGGTTTTAGGTTATTAAATAAGACATACATGACCAGAGGAAAAAATAGATTTCTAACTTTAAGTTCTTCCCCCCCCTTTTTATATGTTTTGTTCAATTTAAAATATTACTTCTTTAAAATGGAAAAAGTACTCCACATTTCCGAAATCATTTTCTCTCACTTTGTCCTTTATTATTAGATATCTTTGAAGAGATTATTACTGTTATTTACTTGGTTGTTTGACATGATGCCCAGCCTGTATATGGTGTTTATATCAAGTCCCAGTAAGCATCATGGAAGGAGCCCCCTTAGCCCAGTGGTTTAGTGTGGATGCTAACCGAAAGGCTCTTTATTTAAACCCAGCAGCACCTTAGCTACTCCATGGGTTAAAGAAGTAGTAGTGGCTTCAGTGAACAAACTGGAAATCCATGTGGGACCATGCTACTCTATCCTAAGAGGATGTTAGGAGAATCAACTGCAAGTGGGTTAAGGGTCAAAATGATTGTAAGCAATGTGCTTTGTTCTTTTCTAGGAAGATTTTCAGACTTAAAGGCTTATATAAAGAATTCTTAGCCCACTTCATACAGATTCTCCATATAAACCTTTTTACTGTCTTTATAGGATTTTTGTTCCCTCAGAAACATTTGAGCACAAATTGCATTAAATTACATGTCTTTAGTCTACTTTAATATGGGAGAGTTTTTCAGTTTTTCCTTGTTACTCATGTCCTCTACATTTTTAACACGTTGCCGCACACTTTTAAATTGAGACCGTGCTTAGGAACACATTTTTTTTTTCTTCGATGTATTACTGTCATTTGTGGCAACGTGTGTTTTTTTTTAAGAGTAAAAGCCAGGGGAGCTCTGGTGGCCTAGTGGCGAGAAGCACTGCAATCCCAGAGGTGTGCAGTTCAAACCCACCAAATGCTCTGCTGGAGAAGGAGGGACGATCTCCTCCTGTACCAGTCAGATCTGATTTGATGGTACATGCACAAAAAATAATAAAATGAAATAAAAAAGAGTAAAAGCCAGTTATTTTGTAGACTATATTCCTCCCTCAATTTAAATTTCTCTAAGTTTCCTCATGATTATATTTAAGTTACACATTTTTGTCAGGAATATCAAAGATGTGTGTTGTATTGTGTTATCTGTACAGCTTAGAAGGAGGTCCAGTTTGTACCATCACTCATGAAGTTAGTTTTGATCCCTCAGTTAAAAGTGTCTGCAGCTTTATACTTTTTCAGTTCTCACCAAAAGAGAGAATATATATAAATAGGATTATTTACTAACCATTCCATAAAAGAATTTACAAAATAAGTACTTGCTTTGCATTTACAAAGCAATTTATAAATACACAGATTTCTCCAACCAAATTGAATGACTCTTTCTTCCTAAAGTAAGTTTTTATATGCGATTGGCAGCCTAAACATGAAATACTATGATGCTATTTTATGATATTGGAGTACATCAAGATACCCAAACTGATAAACCAAGTACTTTACCAGTGTTTTACCAGATGAACTGTGCTTACAGTGGTTTAAGATTTGTCTTTATTTACCTCAGAATGTGAACTCTCCCAAAGGAGATACCATTGAATAGTGTTCTTTATAATTAATTTTTTTGTTTTTCAAATGTATGTTCTAAATGCTCCTTATACACACGATACCATCCTCCTTGTGCATCCATCACTTCAGTCCCCACATGGACAATTTCCTTTGAAATCTCCAGGGTTTTCAAGACTCTGGAAATGTTAATCTTTAATGCTCTTCTGAAGTGACTGTAAAGTTTTTCAGATTTTTTGTGTTTTATTCTGGACTTTTGTCATTTACATGTGAATATTTTCCTTTTTTCTTCCTAAAACCTTGTGACACTTCAAAGATTTTTGGGGAGGTTTTTGTTTTATTAACTGATTCTCCTAGCTATCTCTAAAGAATTAGTTGTCAACAAATACTACCTTTTTTTAAAAATACTCGTAACCCTTAAAACAAGCCTTCAGTTGTGCTGTAGCAACTTACAGTTATTAGTAGACTAAAGAAAATTGTATCAAGTGATCTTTAATCAGCTGATTTACCCCTCAAAATAAAAACTAGCCACATACTGTACCTTTCCTTTTCCCCCCCTGTATATATTTATGGATAAATTAGGAAAAGTAGAAAAATACTTACATATGTCTTAACAATTAAAAATAATATATACTTAGAGGACAAAATAAAAAACACCATTATTTCAATTTCTGTCTAAAACTATTTGTATTATCAAGTAGAAAAAGTAAAGAGATGAGTGTTTTTACAAAGTAAATGACCCTTTCTGGATGAATAACTTTCTCTACAGTTTCACTTCTATCTCACTAATAATTGTTATGACAGAGGCAAGTCAATGAAAGTGTCTAATTTTGTTTCTTTCATTACAGCTATTGTACAGGGTGATACATTAGAAGACATTTACAACCAAGTGAAGCAAATAATAGAAGAACAGTCTGGCCCTTACATCTGGGTTCCAGCAAAAGAAAAGTTATGAGGACTGATGTTTCTCTTTGCCACGTCTCGCTTCCTGTTTTTGACTCTTCTTTATCTTTTCCTTTGGGCATCTGTCTGTAATGCTCCTCCATGTTGAAACCATATCCCACTGTCGTAGTCTACTGTTGCACATAATTTTCTTATCTCAAGTCTCCTTCAGGTTGTATCATCTGTGTTTCTTTACGTCACTATTTTTGTAGCCATTTTTCAGAACTGAAGATGGAATGGCCTGACCAGCTATTAAAAGTTTGGGGAGATGGCAAAATTGTGGTAAAATTCCTTAATGTTTAAGGGAAACTAACTTTAAAAGATTTTCAGAAAAGCTTTATATACATTCTTTTCAAATTTCAGTACAATAAGAGAACAGTGGTGTTTGTCAGTGATTTAATAAACTTTGAGCATCTATGCACGTTTAACTTTTTAATAGCATGGTTTGGCCAATGTGTTAGTCCCCAACTCCTTTTCTGAATTGACTTCTGTAATCAAAGCAAATATTACAGTAAGGGAAATAATATTAATTTCAAAATTATCATCTGAATTAACTCATAATTTCATAAAGGCTATTCATTTTATGTAAGCATTCTTCTAAACGTCTTTTTTTGTTTGAGGCTCCCCCACCCCAGTACATTTGCTAGGAATAACAATGCTCAAATGATTTTACTCTACTTGTGCACCACTCTAGTGTCTTAAAAATGTTGTGTATAGAGAATGATCATTGTATTTTCTGAATTGAGGCCATGTTAGGTGCTAGGCTTGCTCACCTTTTACAGAAGGTGGGAAAATGTCCTAAACATAAATACAGATGAAGCAGACATTACAGTGGTGATACAGTGATCATGGTGGCAATGGAGAAGAGTCCAATTCGTAGCCTAAAACTTTAAATGTATTCTTAGGGGTCAGATTTTAATGAATATTTTACCCACAATAACTGCCTATTTTGTTATAATAAAATATATATATATATATATATAAATATAAATATATATATATGAAACTTTCTTTAACTAAACTGTAACTATGGGAATTATTTTCTTTACATAGTTGCACACACATATATATATATATTTAAAATATATTTTTCTTTTGCCACCTACTCCTAACTTTTTTGTTTTGTTTATAAATTAAAATTAATTGATTAGAATTTATCTTCCTTAATCATGTGAACTGAAAATAGGGGTTTGGTGGTTGTGGGGAGAAACCATTGGGGGAAATTATAGATTACAGGTAAAAGTATGGGCATGTTCTCCTCTTTTCTACAAAACTTTTCAAGCGTTTCCTGGGTTGGTTGTGTGTGTGTGTGTGTGGTGGTGTTTTAGGGGTTTGATATCAGTCCTTTGCCTTTCCTTCCCCTTCTCCGTTTCTTATAGGAAACCGGCAAAAACTCCTTTCATGCGTGTGTTTCCGTCCAGCTGCGCCTTTCTTCTCCTGTAGCTGCTCTGCACTCGAGTTATACACATCTCAGTGCTGAGCCAAATATAAGAAATTTAGGTGAAAGGTAGAAATGATTTCAAAAATAATTTCTCTAGTCCTTCAATAATGTTGTTTGGCTTCCCATTGCTTTTTGAAGTTGTTTTTATTAAATACATGTTTTTGACAACCTCATTATATAATGTTTCTTAAATGAGCACTGATTTGTGAAGAATTAATTATCCATTCCATTTATGAGAAAGAGGAGAACAGCTAATAAACTTTATTGTAAAATTTATATGTTGAGTGTGTCTTGATTGTAAAACGGGGCGGGGGGAAGCCCAAATATTTTACAAGTAATCACTTTCTTAGAACAGCTTGATAATTTTGTGTCCTTTATAGTCTGAATTCAAAAGCCGAATATTGCAACAATGAATGAATGGAAACCCAAAATCTCTGTAAATGTTTATGAAAATTAATAAAATATAATTATAGGAAAAAAAGCCGAATATATTAATACACTGCAATATATAATATTACTCTTACACTATGTATGGTGCACTACTGCCAGACAAACAAACCAGAGGGAAATTGCTAAGTGATTGCAAGATCCCCAGAAGTCACTTTACAGCAAGATTTCCCTGTAAGCTATTTTGTAGTACTTACTGTTTACATGTAGCAGGCTATAAGAAAATTATATTTCTGTGTTGATTATCTATATTGCACAGCTTTCTGGGTAATAGTTGTTCTGTGCCATTGAATCGCCAATAACTCATAGTGACCCTATGCACAATAGCTCTGAACCCTGTCCTATCCTGAGCCAGTCTTACTGTCTCTGACAAACCTGCCTCTGTTACCACAGTCACTATCAATCCATCTCACCCAAGGTCTTCCTCTCCTGCAGCATCCCTCCATCCTTCCAAACATGATATCCCAAAGGACTGGTCCTGCCTTGCAACATGCCCAAAGTATGTTGAGATGGAGCTTCAAAATCCTTGCCTCCAAGGAGCAGCCTGGTTTCACCCTTTTTAGGACAGACCTGTTTGTTCTCTTGACAGGCCATAATCAATACTCTTCAGCACAACTCAAAGTCATCAATTCTTCATCTGTCATCCTTAGTCTTTGTCCAACTCTCTGATGAATATCAAATAATTATGAAGACCCTGGTCTGGATCTGGCGCACTTTGGTGTCTAGATTGAAATCATTGCTCTTCAGTACTCTGGTGAAATCTCTGACTAGAGATTTTCCTAATTCAGTTCATCTTTTGATTTCCTTATGGCTGTTTCCAACAGTGTTGATTGTGAACCCAAGCAAGCTGAAATTTAATAGTTTTGTACAGCTTTCTAAATTGTCTAGAATGATTGATAAAATTTGTGACTGCTGAGTATTACTGTGCAGCTAGAAAAAAGAAGGTTTCTCAATGGGTGATGAAGTGGGAACATGGTCTCATGGTCTTCTGTTCCCTGAAGAACAAGTCCATTCATTCTAGAATAAGGAGAATAGATACTGTCCATTCCAGATGCTGTTTTAGATGTTGTGTGCACACTCATTTTCTGACCCAAGTTTAAATCACCTGACGCTTCTGTTGATGTTTAAGATTCTGTTCTCTCCAGTGCTGTCACTAGCTTTGACAACAGTGTACCAAAGGTAGGTGTATAAAGGACAGACTGTGGACGCAGTTACGGATTTAATGGTGAAATATCATCTCACATACTATCAGGAGACTTGATGCTGGAAAAGGTTGAGTGGCAGAGAAAGAGGACGAGCCTCAACAAGATGCATCGACACAGTGGCTATGAGTTCGAGCCTGTCGGAAATGATATGCGTGGTGCAGGGTAAGGCAAGCAAGGATTTGCTCTGTTGGCAGTAGGGTCTTATGAGGCATAGTCAACAGCACCTCATCAGATACTACAGCAGCCGCTTTTATTTATATTACCACAGTATTTAAGAGAAACAAGGTATGACTCCAAGTCCCATGATGAGGCTTAATTGAAATCACTCGTCCAAGATTGGTTAGCAAATTCTTTAGGTCCACAGATCTGCATCCAAGTCTCTGCCCTGCATTCGCTGCCATGTTCTCTCTAATGCCCTGCTGCCTCAGTTTACACCCTTTACTACTCAAGCCATCGTGAATCACATCATCTCATTTCAGTACCCCTTTATAAATAAGAAAACAGACTGATGAAGGTCCTCACCTAGAGTCCTTCGATTAGTAAGACTCAAAACTAGCCACTGCTGCCACAGCTGAGAGAGTATTCCTGAAAAATGTCAGCCTGCTCCATAGACCCCGAATTCGAATGATACTCGTGGGGTGGGTAGGCTACTCCTCCATGCAGAGACAATTTTAAATGCCTTCTGAATGATTGCTTATTTTTTAATATGCCTCATACTATCCGTTTAGGGGGGGGGGGGAATTCCCTTGACTGTGGCTACACGTTTCTGGTTACCTTCCTGTTTCATAACCACCCAGGGCTCTGCAGTAAATGTGGAAGCAAGTTTACAGAGCACACTCAGCAGAAGACACTGGCTAGTAGAGAACTAGACAATCGACACTCTTGGCATCGTCAGTCAGGAAATCAACCCAATTGAAATTGCATTGGGAAAGTCAGCTCTCCAAAGTGCTAAAAAGTAATGTCAGTCTAGGGACCAATGTGCACCTGATCCAGGCCACAGTCTTCAGTTACTTGCATCAGAGAACTGGACAATGACTAAGGATGACAAAAGAAGAATCGATGCCTTTGAGTCGTGCTGGAGAAGAGTATTGAACATACCGTGGGCCAAGAGTACAAACAGATCTGTCCCGGAGAGGGTGAAACCAGGCTGCTCCCTGGAGGCAAGGATTTTGAAGCTCCGTCTCACATACTTTGGGTATGTGGCCAGGATGAACCAGTCCTTGGAGAAGGACATCATACTTGGAATGCTGGAGGGACAGTGCAGGAGAGAATCTTCCCCAGATGAGATGGTGGATTGATATAGTACTTGGGGTAATGGTAGGGGTCTCAGAGACAGACTAGCTCAGGATAGGGCAGAGTTGAGAGCTATCGTATATAGATAGGGTTGTTATGAGTCACAGGTGACTCAATGGCACATGACAATAGATCAATAGCTGCTAAAGAACTACAGTAGGCTCACTTCAGAATGACAGTTTGGGAGCTTTAATAATTAGGTCTGCTTTCTGAAGTTTTAGAGTGAATAATTCCCTTCCAAGAGGTTTCTTACATTGGCTAATTAGAAGTGAAATAGAAGCTCAAAGATGCCCATGTCTTAACTAAGTTTTCACAGCAATCAAGAATGGACGACCTTTACCGCCCACCTCCTGAACTGATTTTCCCACCACTCCAGCTCCTTTTCTTCCCATGCTGTGAGTTGAATTTAATGAGTTAAGCCCTGGAGGTTTGACTTACTGATTAAAACCACTAAGTTAATGATATTTCATTAAGGTGTTTGCATTTTCAAAGATATCAAATATGAAATGTCATTTTTCTGACCCAAGTAGAAATCACCTGGCGTTTGTCAGTGTTTAAGATTTTCTTCATCCCTCAGTGCTCCGCACGTGCGCGTGCGCGTGTGTGTGTGTATGTGTTGTCCTTTGTTTTATTTTTTTATATATGGTTTTACTCCTTGTTGAATGAACATTTTCTCCCCAGCCCAGCCCACAGTGCACCCGGGTTGTTGTCATACATACAATGTATAATGGTATATTCCTTTTGGGCAGTTCTTCCCTTCATCTCCACTCTTTTCACTATTTCTCCCTACCCAGTGTCTGTCCTATTTAACTGGTATTTTGCACTATTTGTCCTTTTGTTCTGAAATATTTCACTCCACATAATACCCTCCAGCCTCTCCCATGTGGCATGTTTTGTGAGTCCATTGTTTTTCGATCTGTGTAATAGTCTGTTGTGTGAGTATACCATGGTTTTTCTATCCATTTCATTTGTTGATAGACACTTCCATCTCTTTGCTATTGTGAATACCACAGCAATAAACATGGGTGTGCATACATCTATTTGAGTCATGGCTTTGGTTTCTTTATGATAAATTCCCATTAGTGGAATTGCAGGGTCAAATGGAATGTCTAATTCCAACTTTCTAAGAAACCTCCTGACCACCTTCCCTAGTGGCTATACCATTTTACATTCCCACCAGCAGTGAATAGGGATTCCAATCTCCACAACCTCATCAGTATTTGTTTTCTGTCCTGTTGAACTTTGCTATTGTTACTGGGGTGAGATAATACAGTTGTTTCGATTTGCATCTCTCTGATAGAGATTTTGAACATTTCATGTGTTCATTTGCAATCTGAGTATCTCCTTTGGTGAAGTGTCCATATGCTGTGCCCATTTTGTGATTGGGTTATTTACCTTTTTCTTGTTCAGGTGCTGGAGTATTCTAAAACTTTTAGAAATAAGTCCCTTATTAGATACATCATTGCCAAATATTTTTCCCCAGTCTGTGGGTTTCCTTCCTACCCTGTTGGAGAAGATTTTGGGTGTGCATAGGGATTTGATTTTTTAGAAGGTCCCGTTCATCTGTTTTATCCTCTCATGGTTGTAGTCTCACTTGCTTTGACAACGGTACAATGACAAAGAAAGGGCTGTGGAAGCAGGCTGGATTTGAATACCAGCCCCGCCCCGTAACCGACCTTGAGCAAGTCACATCATCCTTCCTACCATTTGTCCTTCAACTAGAAATATGACTCTGAAAGCTAATTCCTTTTTCCTTTGGAATCAGAAGCCTAGAATTACATGTTCCAACTTTCTTAAGGCTTCTCTAAACTTTAATTTAGCTATACTTTAAATGGGGTTTAAGTAACTGCCTGGCATTTTACATGCCAGTAAGTCTGTTCCAACTCATAGTGAGATTATTAAGAGGGTTTAATAAAGGAGTATATGCAAAATGTCTGCCACAGCATCTGATACAATACCTGTTCTTCCCTTTACCCTAGCACTGAATGTGTGTGTGGTTGGCAACAGAAGACCATGAGGACATGCATGTTCCAACATTCATCACCCAGAGAGAAGAGATCCTTGTCAGACTTGTTATTTTCTACTTCAATCCCATTATCCTATCTCTCTGCCAAGTTTCCCTACCACATGTAACAAATGCTGTAACTTTGACCTACTTTAACCCAAAGGTGGATGAATCCAGCCTACCCAGTTGCTCTGCAGGAAAAAGCTGGCCGTTTACTTCTGGAAGTATTGGCGCCAAGAAAACACCATGCAGCAGTTCTTCTCTGTCTATGCGTGGGACGTCGATGGCATCTAACAGCCACACTAGCCAACCATATGTGGTGC